ATTGTGCACACAACAACAGTTATTAACGACAACAACGACAACGCCGGACAAATTTTTTCCCTTAATATACCTTTCCCTTCCATCTTTGATGGTACGGGCAAGGTAAAAATGCAATATAAAATGTGTGAACTCACAAACAGAATAAACACTTACTGCATGTTGCTTCTAGTTTATTGTTATTAACAGAAGCGGACTGTATATTTTTATTTTTAAGAATTCCATTAAACATTTGCCTGGTTACATAACACAGATAGTTGTTTTCCTTAATGTACACATTTCCCATTCGTATTTCTTGGAGTGACACAAGTCCCAGCGACTTCAAAGTGGTGCCCATCACAGCTAATGCAAACCCCCTGTGGAAAAAATACACATGATAGAATAAAGAGAATTCTAGGGGGGTGGAAATGTATTCTAAATCATGTGACTGTGATTTCTAATCATCATTAGTTGATGGTTTTACTGCTTAACTTTGACTGGAATAATTTTCCAACCAACTCAGGGAGTAACAATTACAAATCTAAGTTGGGAACTGATCTTTTCTAAAAATTTAATTCAAAAAAAGCTTTCAACATGGGTATTTTATCATTCTAACAGTCGCATGACTATAAATACCAACTCTGATTGGTGAATTATAATGAACAACATCTAAATTTATTATTCTAATAAGCACATAACACATCAAACTACACACAGATGTGCTTCTTCAACTTTATAAAACAACTAGCAGTAGTTTACAGTTGAACTGAACATGTTCATGAAAAATATGCCTATCTACATATTAATTCACAAATTTAATGGCAGGTAAATGAATTTAAACCTTAAATGATATGCATGGAACATTTTATCACCAACACCTCAATGCAAATACACAACTTCATTACCAATGACTAGAAAATGAACTATTTTTACTAAATTACATTCATTAATAATTTAGTTTTCAAATTTCATTTTAATTCTTATCCAAAGTCAGATTGCATACAAAAATTAAAATCTAATAAATTTGAATAGTTTACTGACATCTACTATACAAGAGCGGCCATCTTGAATCTTAATCAGACCTAAAAAAACACAAGTCATTCGACAATGAAATTTGATCATATTTGGAATTATTGCATGGAAAAATTGCTTGGATATGAATACCTTATTAGACACGGAACTTACAGTACTTTTCCCAAGGTATTTGAAACTTAAATCATCATCCAAGTCAGAAGCTGATCAGCAAGAGTCTTACAGTTGGATGACAGTTGGTTTCAAATACTCCGGAAAAGTGTTTCAGGTTCTCTGTCTAATATGCAAGAGATTTTAACCACACAAAAACATTGAAATTAGGTCAAATTTTGTCAGCTTATAGCTTTAATAATACCCAAATGAATCGTTGGTTGAAAAAGTCTTGTAGGAATTTGAAATGTGCATATCATAAATAAACTTGTGTTTTTTACAACAGAGTCAGTTACAAGATGGCCGCCCTGGATAGCAAATATTAGTCAGTCATATAAAGTATATTACCACTCATGTACGAGCTGACTGTAAATTTGTCATAGTATATGTGTCTTGAAAATTATTGAATAAATGTGCACAATTATTTTGTGAAAATTTAATTTAAAGTGTGTAAAGACATTGGTAATGAAGAAGTATAGAGTAAAGAAATTCTAGCTACATATGGTTGTTTTACAAAACAGTGAACTAAGTCAACAACAATGAAAGAACCAATGAAAGCTGAGAAGCTGGCAGATATGTAAAAAGCAGACAACAACAATTTTAACAAATTTACCAAAAGTTACTTCAAAAACAGAAAAATCTTCCAATTTCCCAGCCTTCATTATTGACATGGTTTTCACAGTGGCATAAGGCAATAATGACTTGACTTTGAGTTTAATTGAAATATACAGTAGTTTAATTATGGTAGCATGAACTACATGGTTGGTTGGAAGCTATGAAGCAAACTCCAAGAAAGTTGCATTTAAACTGACCCTTCATCACAAAATTCAGCATATTTTTCTCTATTGGCTAGAGCTTCTGAACACCTTCAAAGTCAGAGTTAAAAGACAAATTAAATAACTGTAGTTAGTAAATTATGATGTGTTGAATTTTAGTTGTCTTATATTTTTGCAATCAGTAGGCATTAGTTATCACACTAAGACTGTGGTATAAATTACCCAGGACTGCCTGCTGCCACTGTTTAACCACAAAACTCTGTTAGTGTCAAGCAGGCAAAAAAGTCACATGCAGCAGTCAAAAACAAAATATATTTATACAAATTGGTGCCTATATTTGCATAATTTACATATATCTACATATGTTAGCATATATCTGCATATTTTAGCATGTATCTGCATATGATTTGCATACATTAGCAATCATTATCTACATGTATGTGCAATGGAGTAAGCAAAAAAAGGATTTTTACTAATAACTACAGAATTTTTTTTAAACACAGACCAAAACGGTACATGAGTAATCCATAATTCAAATTTGCATATTGATTTTTTTGGTGGCTATAACAGCTTATTAATATATTAGCAATATAATTGTTAAAATCGGTAAAATGAATGTGACAAATTTAGAATTGGACGTGAATTCGTTAAAATATGACTCCAGAAATGTTACCATTTTCGTAAATATAGATGGAAAAAGCAGAAATTTCGAAAAAATATTTTTGGGAACTGATACTAGCTGTGAGCAGGTTAGCTTCAGAAGAAACAGGCTTTATAAACTATTTATTAGTTTCTATGAAACGCTTTTCACTGAACTGGCTTCACCATTAGAGGAAAAATATTTGAAATGCTTTTTTAATACTTTGATGAACATATTGAAAGTTATATGTATGAAATAATTTTCCAACCATTTTCACAGTGTGGTCTAAAATTAAAGTAAAAGTGAGATAATTTTGTAGTACCATTTCAGTGAGAAGGATACAGGATGTATGAATTAAAACCTTTT